GGGGGGGACAAAAAAATTTCCGATGAGGGTGTGTGGCGTTAGCCAGTACGACAAAAAAATTTTGGTATGCTTGTATGCTCCCCAAAATTTTTGCGGGGCCGTATCCCCGATTATTTTTTTTCATAAGGCTAAATTCAATTTTTGAATATTTTTAAAAGTTATTTCAATTATTTACAATTATGAACAAGTCATTTACACAGTTCATACTGTAAGTAATTTCCAAAAATTCCCGACTCGTTCTCGGGGGTGCGCCTCCCACCTTTCTCGGCACGCCACTGCTGCTCAAATATGCATGTTACTCTCTGAAGCAAATCCAGGTGAAGTGGCGATTTTGCTCAAAAACATAATGCGCTTCTAACTGTGCTGTATGCACATTACATATGTAGATTTGGGTTCTCGCGCTGTACTCGGAGCGCGTACAACTAATAAACTCAGGAAATAAATAATATCGTTATTTTCTAAGGTGTTTCATGGTGCTGAGCACGACATTGAATGGCTACAAAGGGACTTTGGAATTTATGTCGTCAACATGTTCGATACCGGCAGAGCTATGCGTCGTCTTGAAATGCAAAAATTCAATCTACGCTATCTAGTTCATCACTATTGTGACGTTTCTCTCGATAAAAGATATCAGCTAGCAGACTGGAGAATACGGTGAGTTAACTGTGCTTTTCCTGGATTTTTTAGTAAGCTTCCACCTGCAGACCCCTAGACGATGATATGATAGCATATGCTCGTTGCGATACCCACTATCTACTCCAGTGCTATGATTGTCTTCGCGAAGAGTTGTTGGAGAAAGGAGACAAGTTACAGAATCTGCTTCGAGTGACCTATTCAGAAAGCGCTCTCATCTGTTTGAGGGTATGTGTATTATCTGCTATCATGAGATGTTTTTAGAAACATGTTTTTTGTCTCCATTTCTAATCAACATGATTTGGCAGTTTTTTGTTAAATATATTTATACACTTATTCTATGCATAACACCAAATTGTTGAGACACCGATGCTGAGTACAAAACTCCTACTAAAAGTTTAGGTCTACCATAAACCGAGTTTTGAGAAAGATGGTTATCGCGGACTTGAACGACGACGGTTGAATAACCGTCAGAATGCAGCTATGCAACTGCTTTGGTGTTGGCGAGATCAGGTGGCTCGAGAGGAGGATGAGAGTGTGCAGTACGTTTTGCCTAACCACATGCTGCTCAATATCGCTGAGGTATCACGAAAATGCTTGACGAGGTCTTTCATGCACTATTTTATACAATATTCTAGAGCTTACCTCGTGAACTGCAAGGTATACTTCATTGCTGCAATCCGGTACCGCCTCTGGTCAAAGAATCCGTGCACGAATTACACAAGTAAGAAGACTCGTATAAATCTCTGACTGTTTGGGAACAAAGTTTTCCAGGATGATATTCAAATGTCGCGATCTGCCGCTGATCGAATACAAAGAGGATGCTACTGATGAAAATTTTGAGGAGGTTCTTCGCAGGAGAAAAATGCGAGGGAAGTACACCAAAGAAAACATCCTTTTCATGTGAGTGAGAGTAATCTGGGAAATCAACTGCGTCGAATGATCGTTTGCTACAGCTGCCCTCTCGATTTCTCACAAGCGGAGTTCGACGAAGAAAGCGGAAACCAAATGTATCGCGGTAAAAGCGTTGGTGATACAGCAGTCTTAGAACGATCTCCTACACATACGTTGCTGTCGGTGCTGAGCTGTGCTACGGCGCTAGGAAAAGCATCGGATTCCGATGATGTTCACACTTTATGCGACAAAGTGAGTGTCTTCGACATTTTTGTGACTTAGGGCATCGAAGTCCTAAGCTTGTCTCTAGCGCACAGTCGCTGTGGTGCTGGTCGGTTTCCAAGTGATATTAGGTCGTCCAAAAATCTAGCATTTTCGTGAAATTCTTTGGTTTTTTAGAGTGATTTGACTTATATCAGTTTTTCACATGGGTACCATAGGTATTATGTGTTATCACATGCATATCAGAATTTTATCATGGCGGAGTAAATAATTCGAGTAAGAAGTGGGACTCATAACTTTCCAATAATATTTATTTATACTTTAAAAAATAAGTCATGAAACCAATGCCTTACAATCAGATTTCATTGTTTTTGTGGCTAAATATAGAATAATCTATTGTTTCTTTGATAATATTGTCGCAACTCAGGAATGATTTTACTTTGTTCACCACTAGAAGCGTAGTGATTTACTTATCCTTAAACTAGATGACTCATCAAAAATTAGGATTAATGAATCCCAAAAAATTTGTGCAAACGCATGGG